TCTATTAACGCCCTTGTGGTGTGGCATGTGGCTCCACCTTGCTGAAACCATGTTATTGAATTAAACCCTGGGAAATCTTGTAATGCGGGCGCCAAAAAGTCCTTAACATGTCACAATAACGATCCGTATTCACCGTAACTGCTCGCCCACGTCTGTCTTCATGGAAAAAGGGGCCGATTACGCCTCTATCAGAAAAGGCGGTCCAAACTATGACCTTTGGACTATGAAGTGGCCTTTGATGTTTTGTTTTAGGGTTTTCCTTGGACCAGTAGCGACAATTCTGTTTATTAACGTGACCGTTAAGGTGTAAATTGGCCTCGTCGCTAAACAAAATATTGTCAAAGCTGTTCAATCGCTCTAGGATTTCACTAGCAAAATTTAACCGATCTTCATAATCGGAATCCTCCAGTTCTTCGACTAACTGGATTTTGTAGGCTGTGAGATGCAAATCTTTCTTCAAAATTACCTGCAGTGAAGATTTGATGTTTAGTTCTTGTCCTCATTTTAAGAATTTTAATTTCAAATTAATTTTATTTTAAACACATGGAAATTCTTTTTCAAAATTAGTCATTTGTTTATTGATTAGCATTATGTTTTCATTGCATTTGAATCTTTTTCGTCATTATGAGTACGTTAAAATTCCAGTAAGTTTCGTCGAGGTAGCAAAACGGAACACGCGGCACTCAATGTCAACGAAGTTTACGGAGCAAATACTACAAACAAACGCACCACCTGTTTGTTATTGGTTTGCCCACTTCCGTTATGGAAAATTCGACCTGAGTAATGAATCCCGTAATCGCACAAAAACTTTAGTCAACAATGTAGAATTTTAGGCAATTGTGGAAGATGATGATACAACTAATCTATGGCTAAACTAGCAGCAGCTTTCGACATTAGCATCAAAACAATGTTGGTCCATTTGCGTCAATTGTCAAAAAGTCTGATAAATGGATGCCCCACGAACCCTATGATCGCCAGCGCGAAGTACACGTCGAGACGTGACTTGCACTGCTCAACCGGAACACAAACGAAGGAATTTTGAACCGCATTGTTACTTACGACGGAAAATGGATTCTCTTTGACGATTGCAAGCACTCAGCCAATTTGTTGGATCCTGGTTTAGCATCCAACAATGCCTTAAACGTAAACTTACTCCTAGAAAAGTGATGATCAGTGTTTGGTGGTCCAGCGCCGGTGAGAGTCAGCACAGCTCCTGACAAAAAGGGATGAGCATTACTGCAGATATGTTCTACGAATAATTGAATACAATGATCGAGAAGCTCACACGTCTCCAATCAGCTTTGGTCAGTTGCTCGTCCCGCTCACTGCTTCAGCACGACAATGCCAACCTCGTACTGCATAACAGATATGGAAACCAACTTGCAAGAGCTGGGGTAGAAAGCTCTACGTCGTCTGCCGTACTCACCTGACCTTGCGCCTACAGACTTCTAATTTTTCCAGAATTTGGATGACTTTACGTGCGAGAAAAAATTCGATACGTGAATTTATAATTAATAATGAAAATTATTTAATTAATGCAAATAAAAATATAGGAAAAGAATAAAGTTAACGCATATTTCATAAATAACGGCAGTTTCTTAAGTAAATACCTAATACCAGTAAGTAAATAGTTGTCGATTAAAATCGCAAAGGCTTATGGTCTATACAGCCATGTCTCTCGTGCATTATGTTTACCGACTTATTTTATACATACACACACACACACACAAACATATATATATATATATATATATATATATATATATATATATATATATATACAATATAGTCTATTTGAGTTTATACACGATCTGACCTATGTTTAAAAGTGCTATTTTTTTATACTTTTTTCACTAATAAATTAATAGGTAAATCCGCTTTTAAAATATATTTTACGAAACTTGGGACGTATGATTAATTAATAAACTGGAGCCCAATAATTACAATGAAGTATTAATGCTTTACTGTAAGCAATTCCCCCGCCCTATTAATCCTGAGAGACATCATTTTAAAGGAGTGTACTTTCTTGATTCCATACGCATCTGAATACATTATACACCTTGAACTCGCAACGTCATTAAACTAGTGTTCTATAAAATATGAATGTTAAATAATTCTGGACACTTTAATTTTACATTCCTTTATCGCTTAAACCAAAATGCGGACGCGTTTTTAAAGAAAGATGGTCCGTAGTGTTCATTACTGCATTAAATTATTATTTTTAATAATAATAAATTATTAGGCGTGATAAATTATTGACGAACACTACTAATAATGTTTGTCCCGATGAAAAAAAACTTATTTCTTTTTAATTCTTTTATCGCAAACACCGCCAATAGATAAAAGGGATAACCTTCGCGGAATGGATATCTTGTAATGTCGGTGCTGTGGCAGATGAAATTGCTTCTTATGATACCGTTGTCAAAGATATTATCGAATACGTCTCCGGCCTGTTCAAAGCGATAGGATGAAAAAATGCCCCTAGCTATTTAGAATAGATTCTAACGACATCATGGAGTTTTATCTCTATATTGAATTTTTATATAACATGCGAGGCTATTATTGATTGATAAAATATAGGTATCTTCATGATATCGAAAGGAAAATTATTGTGTTATAGAAAAAATTTCATTTTAAAGTATGTACAGAGTAAAATAGAAAAGTGTCATCAGCTCATACTAACTACATTTTATTAAGTGGAGGGCCATTTAAAATTTGAAATTTGAATCAGCTATTAAAAAAAACATTAAATATTTTTTCAAAGTTATGAGTTTATTAGAAAGATTGAACATTTCTATTTAAGATTGGAAGACATTATTTAAACGACTGTCACGGCTAGCCTTACAATACGTCATCAGATCAGTCCAATTTTTCAGTACATTTTGATTGTTTGGGGCTCTATTTCATTAATGGCAACTTCAATTTTATGCTTCAAGTCGTCAATCATCTCTGCATGATTAGCGTAACACCTGTACTTAACAGTTTCCCACCAAAAATGTTCAACGGAGTCAAATAGCAGCTTCAAGATGGCAAGAGCACTTTTGGAAACCTGGAATAATAGCATTGTGTTAAGTAAACAGATGTATAAATAAAATTAATACGACATTATACAAACAGCAAACAAGTGTATGTATATACATATATATATATGTAGTATATATATATATATATATATATATATATATATATATATATATATATGGGCGACATATTTATCATTTTTCAATAGTTTTTGTTAAAGATCTGTAACTGATTTTCTGTTCTTTGGTATTTTTCAGTTACCAGTTACCAGGCTTCTTTCAGATCGAATTTAGTCTACCACTCTTACAATATAACTACTTATCCTTGCAATATATTAAAATTGCATCAAAGTTTATCAAGTAATTTAATAGTACTAACAACCAGATAATCGCTAACGGTATAAATTATTAAGAAAGAAAAAAAAATAGAGGAGGTGTAAATAAATATTAAACGAAAACTCACATTTCATTCCTATTTCTGTAAAAGTAGGTAAGTCAAACATAACAAATTATCGATATAAAGTAGTAGTGTCACGCTACTGTCTCGCGCTCGAATCCTGCGGCCGTTTTCTTGGAAATTTACGTACGCAACAATATTGTTTCTTGCCCATACTATAAATCCATCGCTGCTTTTAGCTGTCGCACTCGTAGATAGAACTAGCTTAAGAATAAGTAAATTTTGAAATTGAAAACAATTACATTTTCGGCAACAATCGTAGTACTGGAGGTGAATAATTTTATTTAAGTATATTTCATTACAAACAACATTATTTAAAACACTAAGCAATTATTTATGAAGTATTATTTCTTTATTTGAAAACTTGCAAGTTGTGGAAGAATTCCCGCACTTAGATATGCTTCAAAACTCCAATTTTACGTCTCTGTGCCCGAAATAACACTGGTGACCGAAACAATGGCTCCTTGCGCGCTTGTGGCCTAGGAGTCACATGTGCGGCGACAAGGTCACGATTTTACGACTTCTATTGCCTAATTATTTAGATTTCTGTGTCTCAATCGCTCGGACACCTTTTGGATAATTATGTATATTTATATTGCACCACCTACTTCGTTTTCATTGTTTTATTTCTTTATACCTTTGGTTGCCTGGAAGAGATCGCTATGTAGCCATAAGGCCGCCAATTTGTACATATAATCTGATTTTGTTATGTTAAGTACGTATATGGTATAAGCATTAATTCATATAAACCTTATTCGTTATGTATTCGTTTTCCTTATGATCATAGGCGATTCATGTTTATTGAAAATGGTTATGTAAATACTACGACACAAGACCCAATATGGGTACTCTGATTCCATACATATAAATATAATTTTTGAAGACGTTTCCTTCCCACACTCTCATAGAAATGTTTTAAAGATTTCGATATAAATAATGAATCGAAAGAAATATGAATATAAATAAAAATAAAAATTGAGAATAAAAAAGTAAGGACAACTTGGAATTATATGTAGATTTTCTCGCTATTTTTTTCTACACAGCTTAATACATAGACTTATGGAGAAATTTTAATCTTTTTTTTTGCTTTTTATTTTTAATAACATCCTTTTCAGCAGTAAGCTAGCAAGTAGCAATGTTAGTTTGAATTTTTAAAAAATAATAGTTTTAATAATCATCAGCAGCTTAAATATAATAAACGGTAAATATAAAAATATTTACCAATATTATATTTTACTCTTCCTTTGTATTATAGATTAGTGAACTAGTTTATCTCAGTTGATATTTGACATGGTTAAACGAGAAAAATCCGGTGACATATACAGAGAATACTGATAAATTGATAAACAAGATAATAAGAGCATATCGAAATCCACTATATCAAAAAGGGGATTGTATTGATTGACAACTTTTCAAAAGAATAGACAGACGTTTGATTCCTAATTCTGTATAACTTGTTATAATCTGTAGTAGGCAAGACTTGAAACATGAATCCATTTTATAGTATTATTGTTATATTTTTTATGTTCTCTGCGGGCCATGCAAAATATTTACCTAAAACATCTGGATTGTGTCAAAAATTATTAGATAATGAATTACTTAGTGAAATTTCATCTTATAAAAATGTAAGTGAAGAAATTTTTAGGTATGTAACAGAGGGAAAGTTTAAAGGAAGAACATATAACGAGTAAGTATTTTCTTAAACATATTGGTTCAATTAAAACATTTAGGAGTATAGACCATTTAAGGTTAGTGCTAAGAAGTGTAATTTAAGAGTGTAATTTAATATTATTTAATCACAATCAACAACTTCGATGTTAAATTACGTTAAAATGTGTTGCAGTTGCTTAATATCTTAAAAGGTAAACTTTGGAAAAAAGTAATAGTGACTCTATAACTAAAGTAAATAATTTAATTTCCAAATAATAACTTTAGGGGTCGGTGCTAAGACATTATAGAAGAATTAAAGCGCTGGCTTGAGTGACCTCAGAAATATCACAAGTTCAATTTAACAAATAAAATATCGTTCAAATAGGTACATTTATGGTAATTATAGTAGTGCACGTATAACTATACATTTTATATGTAAAAAATAAAGAATGGAAAATTTTTAATACTTTTGTATTATTTTTAGTTCTGCTTAGCCAAAATTTTAATTAAAATATTGTTGTAATAAAAGACTTAAGCAAAAGTTACCATTATACAGGGGGATGAATGAATGAATTTATTTTTATTTATTTAAGAAATTTATGATTACAAAGATGAATAGTTTTAGTGTAAACATAAACTCATTAGAGATTTTCCGTACACTCATTGCTGTCGACACATTATTCTAATTAACACATTACAATACATTACATTACTAATGTTACATTAATATATATTATTATCAACTTAAATTAGGTGCATTAAATGTTATGTTTCTATTTGACAAACTATTTGTGGGTAGAAAAATATAAAATAGTTATAAATTAATAAATATCTTTATTTTGATGTTTGCCATAGTTGCCACTATTGACAAACCATTTGGCAAACTCAGTTTATTTTTAATTATTCAGTTGTTATTAAAAGACGCTGATGCCTATCTTCTGGTTTGATTCCCTTTGTCGCTTCCTAAGAAGTGGTGGTGTAAGAAAAGTAGAAATATACTATATAACGGATGTTTGTGAAACTCTCCCGAAAACGAATACAGACGATAGTAATAACAATAATATATATATATATATATATATATATATATATATATATTTCATTGGGGTCCATTTTATTTTGGTCTTAAGTTCAAGTCTCAAGTGTAATTTTCGTATTTGACCGTGAAGTTAAGAATTTAAATACAAAATAATAAACAAACTAACTTTTTTAATTTTTTTAACTAATAAACACTCAAACGAATTCAAAAATATTAATTACAAAATATGTTTTTCAGATTAGCCAAATTTGTGGATAAATTTGGCGCTCGGCCCTCGGGTTCTGTAATATTGGAAGACTCCATAGATTACATGATCCAATTAACACGAGATGAAGGCATTAACGATGTTACTACCGAGGAACTAGAAGTAGTAATTTTTGTTAAATTTAATTGTATTCCATATACTATTAATTCAGAAATTAAATACGAGGTGTTTTACAGGTTCCACATTGGGTCCGAGGTAATGAAGTTATAACTATGCTTAAACCTAGAGTAAAAAATATTGATTTATTAGGATTGGGCAGAAGTGTGAGCACACCCGAAGACGGTATCACCGCAGAGGTCATAGTTTTCTCAAATTTTGAACAGTTAGAAGCCACACCTCTGGAAGATATAAAAGGAAAAATTGTACTTTATGATCCAGTTTTTACAACATATGGTGAGACGGTAGTATATAGATCGAATGGAGCTACAAAAGCAGCTGAAAAAGGCGCTTCGGCAGCATTAGTACGATCGATTACCCCATTTTCAATTAATTCTCCGCATACTGGATCTCAGACATATGATGGCAATGTAACCAAAATTCCAACGGCTGCAATTACTCTTGAAGACGCAGATTTGATAAGGAGGTTATATAATCGAGGTGAAACTGTTGTATTAAACATAAAAATGTCTTCAACTTATGATACTAAAATTTCACGAAATACAATTATTGATTTGAAGGGAATTGAGAAACCAGAAAAACTTGTAATTGTCTCTGGCCACATTGACAGCTGGGATGTAGGTCAAGGAGCAATGGACGATGGAGGTGGTTTACTCATCAGTTGGGCAGCACCAGTTATCCTAAACCATTTGAATTTGAGACCAAAACGAACTATTAGATCAATATTTTGGACAGCTGAAGAATTAGGGCTAATTGGCGCGTACGCGTACGAAGAAAAGCATAGAAATGAAAGTTCAAACATTAATTTTATAATGGAATCAGACGAAGGTACATTTGCCCCTCTTGGATTAGCAGTGGCTGGTAATCAAGAAGCTAGGTGCATTATTGCCGAAATTTTAAATTTATTTGCATCCATAAACGCTTCTACTTTAGTTGAAGATGACAGCCCTGGGTCTGACATAAATGTAATAATTCAAACTGGTGTACCTGGTGCCAGTCTTCACAATGCTAATGAAAGATATTTCTGGTTTCATCACACTGATGGAGATACAATGAATGTTGAAGATCCAAAGGAACTTGATTTATGTGCTGCGTTTTGGACTGCGGTCGCGTACATTATAGCTGATCTCTCAGTTGATATACCACGATAATTTTTATAAAACAAAGGTTATCACGAAAGTTTAGAAAATTATTTTTGAAAACTCTAAATAATAAATCAATGAGTACGTAGCTCAAAGTATATAAATCATACGACACTACTTTATTTTTTGGTGCGTCTCCAATTAAATTTTAAATTTTATAACTTCACATGAAGTTAATTGCTAATTTTAAATGTTTTATATTATATTTAAACATTTAATAGAATATAATAGAATATTTTTATTCAATATAGATTACATGTAAATCTTATTGAAAGTCATTTTTTACTTTACCACTGGTTCTGAAAAAAACCTCTGTCCTGGAAAGAACCAACTAATAACCCAACGGGAATGTTTTAATATAAATTTTACAATATGAATGTTTACAAAATATTTACAAAATTTATTTTAGAGACAGCTTGGTAGTGACCACCTCATTTCCAAGGGTTATTATCAACCATGTATTCATTTATATTACTATAACCCTTTTTATACAGTTTTTGTTTAGTTAATTATTTAAGCTTGGTAATAGAGAGGCCTTGTATATATTTTACGAGAATTTATTGTAATAGCGCCCCAAGTCCATTGCCCCAAGCCATTGCCCCAAGAATAAATTACTGACTCTTTGGAGTCTACAAACTGGTATTACTAGCTTGTGTTTATTGCTAGTGTTGACAGAGTGTATATCACTTTTTCTAAAGCTACTTTTGTTTTTGTGAACACACTTGTCCATTTAATTTTCGTAAATATACTGAGAGACTTTATTTCTTTAAATTTTTCTCTAAAAGAATCTCTCAGTTTTAGGTTGTAAATAGCTTTTATGGGCCTCTTTTACTAACCAAAAATAGCTTCTAAATAAGCTGGATTTCCCCGTAGTAAAATCACATATGACATTATGCCATGAAAGTAACTACAATAATCTAATCTAGATGTCTTGACATTAGTGAGATCTCTAATCTTTTTACAGCATAAGCTGCAGAGCTTGGTCTGATTGCTAGTTTAGATATATGATGGGGGCACCACTGAAGCTTAGCGTTGAGAGAGATGTCAAGAAATACAGACGATTCAATAGGGCCCAGTTAGTCCCCATTTAAACACATTGGTGTTCAGATTTTTAACATTCGTTGTTGTAAATTTAATACATTTAGTTTTATTGCCGTTTAAATGTAGATTATTAACGTTAAACCAATGCATTAATTTTAATATAGCATTATTCATTTCATCTCATTTTAATGGTTGACGTTTATGTTTAAAATCAAGGAAGTATGACAAGTAAATAATACTATATCATGATGAAGCCCAATAAGGAAAGGTAAGTCATTAATATACACTAAAAATGGGAATGGGTCAAGAATTGAGTCTTATGGAATACCCATCTGTACGGGCTATCCCGAAGAACTTTTACCATTGATAATAACTTTCTGCATTCTATTACTTAAATAATAATTAGTGTAAGCGCTGTGTTCTTGACACCATAGTACTGAGCTTCTTGATTAATGTCTCATAGTGAACTCAGTCGAAAGGTCACAAAATATACCCAAAGTATCCTCTGAATTCTCCCATGTACAAAAATATTTATTTATTTATTTATTATAAGCTCAACTCCGGCGTTGATTGTCAAGCGACTCCTAGTAAAACTAAGTTGACTTGTATGAAGCAATTTATTTATATTAAAAAAACTTACATCTGATGTAAAATAATTTTTTCAAAAGTTTTACTTGAAGTTGTTAATACAGCAATTGGTCTAAAATTGGATAAACTACTATGTTTCATAAAATCAGAAAACACACCAGATTCGACGTCTGTATTTATAAAATAATAAATATAAAATAGTGGCTGGATGCTATTTTATCTATTACAGATGCAATAACTTTAATGGAAATCCCCCATAAGTCTGCGGTTTTCTTAACATCAATAGTTTCAAAATATTTAATGATATCTTTTAGCATCACTCTTTGGAATTTAATGGTATTATAGAATAAGCCTTTACATTCCGTTTAAGCAATGATTCGGCGATAGTAGTAGAAGAATTTATTGATTTTTATGTCAAAAACCAAATAAAGTACCAAATTAATCGAACCAAATAAAGTAACCGTCATGAATGTTTAACTTAATCTTTGTAGCCTTCTTTTATTATTTTACTATTTACTCATAACTTTTTAACATTATTTGTTTAGACTATAAAAATGGTGTATTTTTATTTTGTTATCAGGTTGTTTATGTGTCGTGCCGTTTAATATAAAATTATATATAGTGTTGTACAATTGTGTAATTGTATATAGTGTTGTACATTTCTCATGTAAGTGAATTTTAATTCTTTTGAAAAATAAATATCTTAAACCACAAAAACGGAACATCAGTAAGACGTTTTTAAGCGATAGTAACTTATTCATCAGATTGCGTTAAATTATTTGTTAGTATTCAGTTGAAATTCAGAATTGTGTGGTTTGACCTTGCCCGTTTCACTATTAATTATACTATACGTCATTTCAATTTGACTGGATGCAGTTTTAATTGACGACTCCGTGGCGCAGTGGATTAGCAATGAGTGGCTGCGCTGGGGGTTGCGGGTTCGAATCCCGCACGGAACAAGTATTTGTATGGCCTACAAATAATTGTTCCGGGTCTGGATGTTTGTCCTTGTGCAATTTATGTTTGTAAACTGCCCCCACGATACAGGAGAAAATCCTAGTGTAGGGGTAACGTTTAAAAAAAATTAAAAAATTTTGTAACCTTAATCCAAAGTGTTAGCTGTGAAGCATATTTTTTTAAATATTTTAAGATAACTTTTACATACTCTTTAAATATGACTTTTATAAATGCCTACTGTCACTTATTCAGTAAATGATTTGGGACTGTATAGAGAGAATGTTTAAGAAGTAAATATTCTATTAAATTCACAAGCTATTATTTTAAATAATGCACGATACAAATAATCAGCACCATTTTTAAATGAAAGTGATGGAAGTCCTTGTACTATAGCTTACACTGACCTCTATATATACAAGATGTCAAGCACGTAGGTATGTTCTTCCAGTGCCTAAAAATCAATCCAACGTTTTACCGCATGAAATCGTATCTAAGAATCATATTGAACATATAAATTATATAAAAATCACATTGTCAGAAAGGTAAATGATTGTTGAACTTATTGTTATTATTATTGAATCGCTTAATTGCTATTTTAACATCATAAAAGTGGTTGTAGTGGCTTATGGTGTAGATTTATCCCGTCTGCGTGGAGCGGTAAACATGATAACTTCCGAAAATATCAATTGTTCAACTCAATCTAATTTTTAATATATAAATCATGTGGAAAGCCATGGAATGTGAATAGCTGTAAAATTTTATTTTGTTTATTTATAATAAATTTTTTTCGATTGAGAAATTCCGAAATTTTCGGTGTTGTCGCAGTCTTGTAATAATATATTTTACTAAATACAGATATACTTTGACTCACTGCGGGCTCGGTCGCCGTCGTGAGTGGGTTACTGTATCGTTTGTTTACAGCGGCTCATGATAAAACAATCGATCACTGTAGAAATACAAAATATTCCATAAACTAAATTTGATACATACTTGACCAAGGAAAAATATAATTAAGATTTTAACTACTACTACTTGTTCTACTTTTTAAGTGTTTTGGACCGTCATTTTAATAATACATAATATTATATAATTCTGTGTCAAAAGATTCAACATTATTTTCCCCTACAGTGTCTATAACAGAAATAATAAATAGGAGTAAATTAAGCTAAAGTTGGGTTTAAAAATAGTATATTGATAGCCCTCTGAACTGGAAAGTGCAGGTTATCGCTTTAAGTAGGAAAGTCATTGCCATCTTACGTTACCTTTATTGTCTCAAATACTTACTTCCTATTAGGCCTAAGTTCATGCTTGTCCAAACACTTATTTTATTTACCTTTAATTATGCAGATGTGTGCTATCCCGACCTGTTCTAAGAACTTCTTATCAAGCTGGAGCGCCTGCTTAACAATTGTATTAGATTTATTTTTGGTCTGCGTAAGTATGACCATACTTCTCATTACAGATCTTAGCTTAAGTGGCTTACCATAAGGCAAAGACGCAACTCCAGAATATTACTTGTTATTTTTTCAATTCTAAATGATCCATATTCACTTTCTTACCTCAAAGAACGACCAATATCTCTCTTCTTGTCATGATAGGGTTCTTCGATCTTCCTCTTATAACAAGATTTATATTCCTACTAGATCTCAACGGGTTCTAGGTTAACTCCTCCACTGTTCAGACTGCACTTCTCTGGAATTTCTTGTCTAATGATATCAGAAAAGCGCCTAACAAATACTCCTTTAAAACGATGGTCCGCGAGCATTTACTGAAGAATCATTAGAATTACAATATTGTTAAAAAGTCGTATTTATATGTATGGATTAACTTTACTTATGTATATTAATATCCATGTGTGTGTATGTATGTATGTTTATATATGTTTATTAGCATATAAATGTATTTATATTATGAATATGTAATAAAATATATATATGTCTATGTATATGGGAAACGTCTCCGAGTACCGGGACAAACTTATGTCTGAAGTCGAGTCTTTGCTGAACAGAGTCTCGGATTGGGGGCGACTAAATCTAGTCCAGTTTAACCCTTAGAAGGCACAAGTTTGCGCGTTAACCGCTAAAAAGGACCCCTTTGTCGTATCTCCTCAATTTCAAGGCTCCCCTTGTTGCCTCAGCCAGTATCGGAATCCTGGGCGTCGACATATAGAGTGACGTGCAGTTTCGTGGTCACTTGGAAGAGAAGGCCAAATTGGCCTCTAAAGAGCTTGGCGTGCTCAGCAGAGCGGGACAGTATTTCATGCCGGCACACCGCCTGCAACTTTACAAGGCGCAGGTTCGGCTGCACATGGAATATTTCCCATCTCTGACGACTCTCTAGTACCAGCTCCTTCCACTCGACCGCATCCAGCGCAGAGCGGCTCGAATCGTCGACGACCGAGTGCTTTCCGATCGGATCGATTT